AAAAAAAAAAAAAAAAAAAAAAAAAAAAAAAAAATTCAGCAATCTCCATTGAGACAGCTTGGCGCTGACTACACAGCCCGAACATGGTTTTTAGGTTAGGTTAGACCCACTTACGTCCAAAGAATCATTTTCTCTCTCATGAGCTCCTGAATGGTTCTCACAAATCGGCACGCACGGATCTTCCTCCCTCCTTGTGTAAACCCAGTGGGTACACAAACCACCCCTAAGACTGCCCAGGGGTGGCTGAGAGAGTCAAACGAAGACCTGCTCGAGCATACATGTACTTAGCCCACTTGAGGTACCTATACCCCCTGGTGGCTACGAAATCAGTTCATTTCTATGTTGATCCTTTGACCCTCTAATCGGTACCCTCCTGAACCCCCCTGACCTCCTCATCAGCAACCTCATACTCGAAGCAGCCCCTGATGGACTCGGTAATCGAGAAAATCGAAGCGGAAAAAGGAGGTCAGACAGGATAAGCCGATCTTGGCGTAGCCTTCAGTAATATGACGGGCTGGTTGCTTGGCCGAGGTATGTATATAAAGTATAGGACGATCGTGATGGATCAGGGTCCCTTTCTAAATTGGCTAAAATTTTTCAGGGAAATTCCATCGCCAGGACGATACCAGGGACTCCGTGGATACCTAGTGCAAGACCAGGGTCCCCAGGGTGATGCGGAGAGCAGAGCAATTTGTCAACACCATTAGCAGTGGAACTCACAAGGGTTGACTGTACCAGGGCGCATCTGCCAGACGCTGAGGCCAGGGTGAGGCCACACAACAATAAAGGGGTAGTTAATGACTCGGGCTATTCTTGTGTGATAGGGATATAATCAGCCTTATGCCATCATTTTCATTTTATATTATTATTGTCACGCAGACTTGGTGAATTTCTGTTTATCGGGAACACCCTGTAGATTTATGTTATTTTTATGTCGCTTACCTACCGGCGCATTGCAATTGCACTTTATTTATATTATAATTGATTGTTTTTGCGCATTGAAAATCCTTGCGATTCTATTGGCGAAGCTCCGGGAACGATAAACTGTTCCACGTAAATCGCTTATTGGACTAATCGGGATATTTGTCGTTATCGAAATGATGGAGCTACCCGTAGGCTATGCACAGAGAGAAAATACTGGAAATAGTAAGATGAAAAAGAAATTCGGAAAATTGTCTACGAATCTACTGATAAGGCATTTCATTGGGCAATAGGGTTAATAAGAAATTGCCGTCTCGTTAAATACCAATGAGAAATTCGTTTTTTGCCGTATCATTATTTCAGTCGTTCTTTGTCCTGGCTGTTTCTTTGTCTTCTTTTTATAATCCCTTATCGTGGACCTTATATCAGGTAGGAAATTTAATTTTACCTGCATTAGTATTCACCTGGTGTCGATATCAATAAAAATATGGTGGACTTTCAATTTTCTGGCTCTTATCGTTACCTGTAATATTCGCTTGGCAATTATGATTAATAGGAATTAAAAATTTTTTTAAATTTAAAAATTGCAAGGCATAATAGAAATTTTCCTTTGCACTTCTATTATATAATAATAATTTGAGAAAATTTTTATTTATTTACTTTTTTTTTTATAACACCTATCTTGTGTTCTTTACTAATTAAACTTCGAGCTAACTAATACCAAGTTCCCACTTGCCGAATCGACAGTCGCCGCTGGAATTCGAACTAGAAACGAAATTGGAATGGGACGCCATTGGAATAAGATTGGGTTTAGCCGCGGTGTCGGGTTCGAGCCCTGGATAAGTCTGCCTTATCCCGATAAGCCGGTGAGTTAATGAATCACAAAACAGGTGGTGGTGCCTGCCGAGAACGTCTTCGTCGAGAGTCGCCGAGATTTCCCATGCGAATTCGAGCCTGGGACATTTTCGCGAGCGTTCAAAACTTTCTCTTATACGATATTGACACAGTTTATATTTATACCAACACATATACATATATAATTGAGTTACAAAATTGTAGCCGAAGAAAGGTCGAAAATTCGCGAACGTGCGTTGTTCTACCGAAAGCCGTGAGAAAAAATATCTTGTCAATTTTTATCACTCGCTGAATCACCGACCGATGGGTGGTGGCGGTTTGCGCAATTGTAAATCTATCGCTCCATTTCTATACAGCGAGATTATACCTTTACTGCGAATCGACTGGCCTAAGTAGGAAAATCACGAAGCGACGCTTAGAATTTTTGACGTTTTCCGTCGGGAAATTTAATTTTACAATTTTCTTCTTATCATTATTTTTTATTAACTGATCCGTCACTCGACTCATAGTATACGAGTTGTGGACTTTGGAGTGAATAGTTAATTGATTGGTCGGATTTTTAATTCAACTTTCAAAATCCGAACGGCCGTCGGACGTCGCGATCAAATTGCACGAAGGACCACGGTACAGATATAATACATGTTTCTGGCCGTTTATATATTTTTGAATTATCCCGCCTTAAAATACATTATTCTCATATACGTCGCCAGAACCACGAAGAAAAAGAAGCAATGCCAAGGGTTTTCGAAATTTTATCTGACCCGTCGCGTCACAAGTATAATAACGTAGCGATGGGTGCGGTGCTTATCGGGCTATTCGTACTAAAATTTTATCTACCTGTCTGACACCTGACAAAAAAATCATATACGCAGCGTCGATCCGGCGTCAGTGAAGAAGTGTTGGAAAAAAAAACTAATGTGCCATTTCCTGCATTCGACTGCGTGCAAAAATTCTATAAGATAGTCGAAAAAATTTCTCATCGGACATCCGTTTCGAGGAAACAAAAATTCCCCCATGGAAAAATTTTCTTCGTCTCGAGACTGTATTAGATAAATTTTTAATGAATTTTTTTTTTATTTTTATTCAACTTGCACAATTGTTACTTGCTTAAAAAAAATGGTAAATTCCGAGAATTCCGAAAAGCACGAACGAGATATAATTAATGACAGTGCGCCTGCAAGCAACCGTACTAATTTTAACCGCGATGTCCCTGGGTGCTTGTCAAACATTTACCCGCGATTAGTTCTCTATCTTCGTCCTCGCAACGCTACCAAAATGTACACGCGTCTCGAAAAAAAAAAGTCACGAGAATTCGCTGTATCGCGTATCGAACATTTGTCCGATTCTCGTATAGAGCGTCCAGAAGCAATACACATTATCGCTCCGCAGTAGAAGCACAAAAAAGACATTGGACATCGTCCAAGAAATCTGCTCGACTGACTGACAGTAGCCATCGATAAATCAGTTCATTCAAGTATTACCGATACCAATCACTATACTGAATAAGATGTTAATAATAATTAAGGCCGAAATAAAGAAACTCGTACAATCAATCTACCGATACCTTGTTATCACATGTATAAACACATTTTTCATAAACGCATATATATCATTCTGAGACGTACAATCGTCAAGTACAAAGATCGACCTCGTGAAATTAGCCACGTAACGTTGCCAGAGGAGATGCCAGGTAGCGATAGAAGATAATCTAGAAAATTTATCTTAGTCCCGTCCGAAACATCGAGACGATCGAATAAACACTGAGGCAACCGAATGCCAGAATGCAATAGTCTTGAATAGTAATAATAATAAAGAAAAACCTTTTCCATCCCTAAAAAAAATTCTACATAGCTACTTTGTACGACAGAGTTCGGTGAACTCTGTCTCGGGTACCGTGACCGACTCACCACGTTTAAGTTTCTCCAAAGGTTCATGATGCAGCTGATGACTGGCATTGTTATGATGCATAGAAGTATCATGATGCGGTGTACCATGGACGAGATCATGATGATGTATGGCACCCTGAAGATGATCACCAGCATGTAAGCCAGCCATGGAGGCAGCCGAGGTAGCATGCTGATGATGCTGCACCGAAAGCCCAGTGGCCGATGCTGTAACGAGGTCCGGGAGGCAGAGGTCAGGATTACCGCCGCCGGCGAGTTCGAGGCTCCCCCCGCCTCCCCCTCGCTCCATGCTGTAGAAAGTTAACGTCGTGCTGACTTTTCCGTACACCTCACTGTCCCACTTCACAGGCCCTGTCAGGCCTCCAATTTTACTAGGGGTCGCGAAGGTAAGTTCGTCCCTCAAGGATACATATGTTCGCCGTATACTTATGCACCGTTCACGAGGATCGACGAGACACGAAGATTCGCACTTGATAATATACCCAGACGGTCGTCCTCGGGGGATGCTCTATTAATTACCTTTCTAACCTCTATAAATCTTGGACGTGTTACCACCGACACGATTCACGTTCGTAACGTTTTAACCTCGAACCCGTAGCTCTTTCTCGTATCTTACGGTTAGTACACTGTATTATTCGTAACACGCGCAGTAACGAAGCTGCAGTCCGTTTCCGCGTCACGAGTCACTGTTTACGAGGTTATACACGCGGTGGCCGTTGGTAGCCGTTACGACGAGAGCCGATCGTGTCTCGACCGGGAGAGAAGTACGCGCGCGCACCACCTAGGCGTAGGCGACTCCTGATAAGGTAGATAAAACCCGTAGACGAGGGCGTTACGTAAGTGTCCCACGAAGTAGGTTAGAGTTCCCCGGTGTAACAGCACTGGGAACGACAGCACGAGGGTACAGGACGCGCACCTTGGCGGTAACTCCTGTCGAACGATGAGACAGCAGAAATAACAACACCGTGCGTCACCCGCGTATACTTCGTCGTCACGTCGAGCACACGCGTCGATTTGTTTCTTTCCCGTCAATCACGGGCGCGCTCTTCCTTTTCGTCGTTAGCCTCGAGGTCGCCGTGGATAATCGTCACGGATTTACATCGAGGTAGGAGAGAGTCCGGGGGGAAACGGCGCGAGAGTTAAGTCGGCCCGTGTGCGCTACGCTTGCCGCCCTCTCTGACCAGAGAGGAAGCCCAGGTAGTACGTACTAGGCACTAGGTACTAGCTAGTAGCCGCCGCGGTAGTAGGTGGGTTGGCAAGGCTTAACGGGTTGAGCCTTTCGGACTGCCTGCCGGCTTAAATCCGTAAGTCGGTAAGCCGAGCGGATCTAGTGGTCTTGGCTGCTGCACTGCCTTCCTCGCTTGCCTGGCGGCCTGACTGTCTGACTGCGCCTCTCCTCTGTCCCGGCTACCGCTTATTTCCCCTCGGCGAGAGAAGCCTTGCGAGCGTCGCCAGTACGCCGCTGGCTTCGAGACCGTGGCGTTCGTTGCGCCGATTCCCGGTAGGCTGTGCCCCACCATACGACTCTTCCCACTCTTCCCGCACCCAGCCTGTCCCACGAGTCTGTCTCTGCCTGGCTGACTCCCCTCCCCCCGGCCTACTTCGAAGTATACACAGAACACGAGGGACGCAGCCAGGAACTGACTATACAAACTCATACTATCTTGATCGTCCCCGCCACTTGGATATATTTTACCCCCACTTCTTTCAGATACGTCGATTTTACCCCACTATCCTTCCGATGCAAGCTCACCCCACCAGAGGGCACGAGGCTACCAGTTTTCTCTTCCTCCCTTTGCATCCTCCCCTTCTATACCAACGGGCGAACGACGTCTCGTCTTTTATCTTTGGCGCACTCGCTTGGAAAACCCAACCACAGTGCGCTTTGCGAACCCCGACACGATCGGCCAAGACTTTTCTAACCCGAATTACCACGAGGAGGACAAAACGTGTCTCTGTCCCGGTGCAGGGACACTCCATGCGAATAGAAGCTCACAATATCAGACTCCAGAGTTAGACTAGAGTCACGCTAGTTCACAGGGGGGGTGACAAAAGCACAACCCATTGACTTCAGTTTCTTATCCGTTATCAACCGTCCTCGTTACCCCCTAACGAAATCTCAGAGATCTCCCGAAACTCGTATTCACTCCAGTGCGTCAATCGTCCATAACTCGGAATTTCCCTGGTGGCCATGAAATCCGCGCGCGCATCTTCAACCACCAGCAATCGCAACGCACGACCCCCCTCCGCCCTCAAAATCCCAAGGCACGACTACATACCTTCTACTCGGGCCGTCTTGTTCCTTACCTTCAGGGGGGAGCCAACGATGCACTCGGGTGCACTTATCGCCCCCTTATCTCCCAGAACAAACAGACCTCAGTATACTCGTCGTCTTCAAGCCACAAGAGGACGCAGCCACGTACCCTTACAACACTCCATAACCCTAGTATAGTGTATACGTACAAATATAAACTTACATATACGCCCCATGTATCAGTATGAAAAAAGCCACCCCTTTTGCAAGTAGTATACAGAACTGTATATACCTAGCATACTATGGTACGGGTCGAAGTGGGGGGGCCCGGGTTCTTCTAATGAAAAATATGTATAGTATCCTACGTACTCTGGTTACGTATATACGTATATATCTGCAGATACTCCCAGTAGGTGGAGGCAGGTATAGGTTGCAGAAGCAAAGCACTCGAGAGGACCGGTACGTGTAGGAAAGTACATACGTCAACCCTGGCGCGCCATCCCGGCTTCGCCCGGGAAGAAGAAGAGACAAATGACAAGATGGCCACGCCCATTCGCGAGCGGGGGCGTTATTGGTCGACTTCAACCTCCCACCTTCCACCCGTGATACCCTACCACCTTGTACTAACTTCCTCCCCCCCCCCC